CTGCAATAGATGCAGTAGCAATTCCCAGCACTTCCCAAACATAATTATTTTTAGCAAAATCATGTTCTGTAATATTTATAGGTAATGTTGGTCCAGGAAACATTGCCTCTTCGGAGATCGGGAAGTGATTTTTCCCCTGCTGGAGCAAATTTTATCATGCTTTATTGGGTTTTTTTGCTTTCCTCAGGATTAACTATGTGTATAGGATAGTGTATGTGGAGGCTTTCGATTTGTGTGTCTTTTTTTTCTCGGCTGGTTGAACTGGATGGATTTATGTCTTTTTTTCAAACAGATTAACTATGTAACAATATATTTTCATGTAGCAGAGCACACACACACACACACACATAATACATATATATATATATATATATATATATATATATATATACAGTACATTGTGCTATTTTGTTGTCAATACAATATTAACCACTTGCCCTCCTGAGTATTTACCCTCCTTCCTGACCAAGCCATTTTTTGCATTACAGCGCTGCAGTGCTTTAGCTGACAATCGCGCGGTCATGCACTGCTGCACCCAAATGAAATTTACGTCTTCTTTTTTTTTCCCACGAATTGAGCTTGCTTTTGGTGGTATTTGATCGCCTGTGCGTTTTTTATTTTTTAACTATAAATTACAATTGCTACAATTTTGAGAAAAAAAAATATTTTTTAACTTTTTGCTATTAAACATGTACAGTAAAAAAATTTTAAAAATCAAATTTCATCATAAATTTAGGCCAAAATGTATTCTGCTACATGTCTTTGCTAAAAAAAATCCCAATACGTGTAAATTAACTGGCTTATGTGAAAGTTATAGCATTTACAAATGGCAGTATAGATACTGGATTTTTTTTCCATTTTTACTAGTAATGACGGTGATCAGCAACATAGCAGGACTGTGGTGGGCATTCTGACACTGAGGGGAACTGAGTTGGTGTCACTGACATCCCCAGTGACACCAATACAATGATCAGTGCTAAAAAAAAGCACTGACACTGTACTAATGGCACTGGGCAGGAAGGGGTTAACATGAGGGGTGATCAAAGGGTTAACTGTGTGCTGGGGGTGTTTTACTGGGGGCGGTGTGTTGGTGCTTCACTGTAAGGATACTGCTCTGGATGGCTGTGCTGTGCACAGCCATCCAGAGCAGTGTGCCTGAGCTGACAGGGAGGAGGACTGTTAGTAAACAAAGCAGTCCCCTTCCCCGTCGGAGATCCTCGGTAATCACCGGCTGGGACCCAGTGATTGACAGCGCAGTATATCTCCTATAGGGTGGTGGGGAAGCGGTTAAAGAAACAAGTTATTGAAATAACACTATTTTATTATTTTATTATTACAGGCACTTATAAAGCATTGTCAATTTACGTAGCGCTTTACATATATATTGTACATCACATCAGTTCCTAACCCTCAAAAGAGTTTACAATCTAAGGTCCCTAACTCACATTCTTACATACACATACTAGGGGAAGTTTAGACAAGAGCCAATTACCTACCATCATGTCTTTGGAGTGTGTTCACAGTAACAGATTTACAAAAGAAATACCTTTTACACTAAAGCCATACTTCACTTTCTTATTTCAAAGTTTACATAAAGTAGATGGGTTCTGCATTATATTGGTATGATTCTATAGAATTCTGTGGTCCGCAAAAGAGGCATCAATTGAATGTAAATATTACTAGCAATTTGCAATATGGACTAGATTGCAAGAGGCACTGTAGATGCTACAGCCCCCTTTGTCAACTTATCTCACTAAATCCACCCAACTAACATTTATATAAACGGTAGAAAAGTGGTCAGATCAGCCATTTATTAACAACAGCAAAATATACATTATCTACTGTACAAAATACCATTGAAAACAAAACATGGAATTACAGTAAGGTCTTTGAAGTCACCAGTATCTAAAACAAGGGTCTCTATCCACAAAACACCAACTTAGAGAAGTTTTAGAGTCAGCACCATATCTGGAACAGCCCCTCTATCTCCATTAGATAGTAAATATAGAAGGTAATATCATTGGCTGCACCTAAACCTTTAACCCCCAAAAAACAATGCTGCTACCTCCATCTGGAAATGTTTTGATCAATTTACCATTTAGCCCGCTGCTAATATTCTTCCCTACATTGATCTTGAACACTATGTTCAAATGTAGGTGCTTATATCCTCCACAACCTTAACGTACTGAAGCTCTAGTCCCGCTACGAACCTTGCTAGACAGGGAAAACCTCTGACCTCCGGGCCTCTAGAGCCAGGCCTGACTTTAAATGTGTAATAGCCATAAAAGGGTAGAAGAACATATGCTATTGTGCTTTTGACATAGTTTAAAATGCATCTAAACCCAAAAACAAATTTGTTACATATTGCAGCTTACCAGTCTATAGGTGTGATGGCTTTTACTTTTTCTTTTTCTTTTTTTTCAGGTGTTTTCCTTTATTTTTACCTTGTAATCTTGTAATCATAATTCCTGCCCCACTCCTCCACTGTATCTATGAAGGGAGCCTTGTTTGCCACTAAAAGCTGAACATACAGAAGTTTGGTTCAGAGAAGGGTTGGCAAACTTTAAGTATCGGTTCAGATGCCGAATCCCAACTGAAATCAGGGACAGCCAAATCTTAGAAATATGTAAAGCTTATTTTCTAGGTTAATAGGCAATAGATTGTCCAACAAAGGACAGGAGGAGCTGGTCAGTGCCCTGGGGAATGTGTACCAAAGCAAGAAATATGTTTACAAATTATTATTCAGCAGAGAGAAGGTCTTTTCAGTCCTTAAAGGGAAACATTAAAAAAGCGCAATTGTTTTAAATAACATGCTTGGGGGATGCTTTAATGCTGTATGTGATGTAATATTTAGGGGTATAACTCCTCGGGATATGCAAAGCCATTTGTTGTAAACATAAAGGTGTTTATTTTTCTTTAAATGCAAAAAAAACTACCTTCAGTAGCAACAAGGAATTAATTTAGCTCCTGAAAACATAACAGAAAAGTCCTCTTATCTTCAGTATAAACAGCATAAAGGAAACATAAAGACACATAAAGATCATGCACGGGATTTTCCCAAAAGTTAGCACAGTCCAACTCTGGCTGTTTGGCAGCTCCCAGCATACATGCAGCACTCCAACAGGTCTCTCTCAAAACTCCTACTCCCCACACCTAATGCTCAGAGCTTCCTGTTTTATTTGATGCTCCCCAGAGGCTGCTATACCCAGTAGGGACTGATTTTCACTTCTTCAGACACTGCCTTCCTATGTGCTTCTGGGATATGATAGGGCTTTAAATGGATCTTTATAATGTCTCTATTTCTCTGCAAAAATTATTTTGCTTGTTGGGTTTGGGGCCTGGTCACCAGGTCAACTCCTGCCGGGTCCCCTGAATTGACACCTACCACAGTGGACGCCTGTTCTCTATCTCTCCAGGGTTTTAACAAGCGTACTTGATACATTTGGTATGGCTTTCTTTTCCCTGGCTGGTGTACCTTGTACAGAAGTTTACAACACCCTACTTGAAACTGTCTGTCTTTAGCTGACCGATTGTACACAACATTTGGCACTTCAATGCACAGTGTTCCTAGTCCTCTTGACTGTCCAAGAAGTCCTCTCAGTACCTAGTTCCACTATGATATCATGTATGACCATTTGCTCCCATCCCTGAGCAAGATGCTGCACTGCCTCCTGAAAGGCCTTCTGCCTCTATAGTTTCCTGCTGTGCTGTAAACTGGGAGGCCAGCAACCAAGTGTTTTCCTGTTGTGCTGCTACAGCCTGTGCCAGGGCTTGCTGCTGCTGAGCCATTGCCTCCTTTTGGCGATGGTTCACCTTCGTGGAGGTTTGCTGCTGGGTCACGATTCCTAGTTCATGAAATTCATAGATGGGATTTACCCGAAGGTTGGTACAGTCCAACTCTGGCTTTTTGGCAGCATCAAACACACTTGCAGCACTCCAACAGGTCTGTCTCAAAACTCCTACTCCCCACACCTAATATTCAGAGCTTCCTGTTTTATTTGCTGCTTCCTGGAGACTGCTTAAACCTGCAGTAACAGAGTCATCATAGTCAGGATTGCAGGTTCTTTTCCCACCCAAATGTCACTCCGAACCTCCAAAATTCTGGGTCCCAAATACGTCTCTACTAAAACCAAGAGGACTTCGAGTCAGTCCTCTCCTTTGCATGACTACTTCAGAATACCTCACCCATCACGGGTGAGACCCCTGAGTACACACACATCCTTAAATAAATATAAATATATAATATATATATATACATACACACTCTATATTGCCAAAACCATTGGGCTTCCTGCCTTTACACGTACATGAACTTTAATGACATCCCAGTCTTAGTCTGTAGGGTTCAATATTGAGTTGGCCCACCCTTTGCAGCTTTAACAGCTTCAACTCTACTGGGAAGGCTGTGCACAAGGTTTAGTAGTGTGTCTATGGGAATTGGGAATGTTTGAATATTCTTCCAGAAGTGCATTTGTGAGGTCAGTTACTGGTGTCAGAGGAGAAGGCCTGGCTCGCAGTCTCCCCTCTAATTCATCCTAAAGGTGTTCTGTCGGGTTGTTGCCAAACTTGCTTATCCATGTCTTTATGGACCTTGCTTTGTGCACTGGTGTGCAGTCATGTTGGAACAGGAAGGGGCCATCCCCAAACTGTTGCCACAAGGTTGGTAGCATGAAATTATCCAAAATATCTTGGTATGTCAATGCCTTAATAGTTTCCTTCACTGGAACTAAGGGGCCAAGCCCAACCCCTGAAAAACAACCCTACACCATAATTCGCCCTCCACCAAACTTTACACTTGGCACAATGCAGTCAGGCAAGTACCGTTCTTCTGGCAACCACCAAACCCAGACACGCCCATCAGATTGCCAGACAGAGAAGCCTGATCCATCACTCCAGAAAACACATTTCCACTGCTCTAGAGTCCAGTGGCGACATGCTTTACATCACTGCATCTAACACTTTGCATTGCACTTGGTGATGTAAGGCTTTAATGCAGCTACTCAGCCATGGAAACCCATTCTATGAAGCTCTCTACGCACTGTTGTTGTGCTAATCTGAAGGCCACATGAGGTTTGGAGGTCTTTAGCTATTGACTCTGCAGACAGTTGGCGACTTCTACGCAGTGTGTGCTTCAGCATGGTCTGACCCTGCTCTGTCATTTTACGTGGCCTACCACTTTGTGGCTGAGTTGCTGCTGTTCCCAGTCTCTTCCACTTTGTTCTAATGCCACTAACAGTTGACTGTGGAATATTTAGTAGCAAGGAAATTTCACGGATGGACTTATTGCACAGGTGGCAACCTATTACAGTACCACACTTGAATTCACTGAGCTCCTGAGACTGACCCATTCTTTCACAAATGTTTGTAAAAGCAGTCTGCATGCCTAGGTGCTTGATTTTATACACCTGTGGCCATGGAGGTGATTGGAACACTTGCATCCAATGATTTTGAGGGCTGGCCCAATACGTTTGCCAATATAGTGTGTATATATAGATTAAGAGAGCTGCTCATCATCAAACTTAAGCTAAATTTGAAGTACTGAAAAACCCTTCAAATACCTAATGCCTTTCATGTAATATATCAAATTTAACCACTTGAGCTCCTGAGGATTTACCCCCCTTAATGACCAGGCCTCTTTTTGCTACTTGGCGCTGCACTAATTCAACTGATAATTGCGCGGTCATGCAATGCTGCACCCAAACGAAATTTACGTCCTTTTTTTCACACAAATAGAGCTTTCTTTTGGTGTAATTTGATCACCTGTGCGCTTTTTATTTTTCACGCTATAAACAAAAAAAGGCCAAAAATTTTAAAGAAAAACAAGATTTTTTACTTTCAGCTATAAAAAATATATAGTAAACTCAAAGTTGGTTATAAATTTAGGCCAAAATGTATTCTGCTCCATGTTTTTGGTAAAAAAAAATCCCAATAAGTGTATATTGATTGCTTTGTGTGGAAGTTATAGCGTCTACAAACTATGGTATAAATACTGCAATTTACGCCATTTTTCTGCTATACAGCGCTGCGCTAGTTTAACGGACAATTGCGCGGTCATGCAATATGGAACATAAATGAAATTTACATCCTTTTTTTTCCCCACAAATTGAGCTTTCTTTCGGTGGTATTTGATCGCCTGTGCGGTTTTTATTTTTTGTGCTATAAAAAAAAAGGCTGACAATTTTGAGGAAAAAAAAAACAATATTTTGGACTTTTTGCTATAAAACATTTCCAGTAAAAAAAAAATGCAAAAATCAAATTTAGTCATAAATTTCTGCCAAAATGCATTCTGCGACATGTCTTTGCTAAAAAAAATCCCAATACGTGTAAATTAATTGGTTTATGTGAAAGTTATAGCGTTTACAAATGGCGGGAAAGATACTGGAATTTTTAATTTTTATTTATACTAATAATGGCGCTGATCAGCGACTTTTGGCGGCAATCAGCAACGTATGGCAGGACTGCGACGGACATTTTGAAACTGGGGGGGAACTGACTTGGGGTCACTGACATCCCCAGTGACACCAATACAGTGATCAGTGAAAAAAAACCACTGAAACTGTACTAATGTCACTGGGGAGGAAGGGTTAACATTTTTAGAATTTGCTGTATAAGGGGAGTGTTTTACTAGGGGGTGGGGGTGTGTACTGGACGGGGGGGGGGGAGGGAGGAGCTGATCGAGGGAGAGAAACTCTGCAGCTTCTCACAAGCAGTCAGAGAACTGACACAGAACAGGGCTGTGTGTAAACAATGCAGCCCTGCTCTGTGTCAGCGATCACCGTCAATCGCGGGAAAACGGCCGGTAAAAATCGGCCGTAACCCGTCGGCTGACACCTGCTGCTGACACCTGCGGGACAGGTAGGGCGGGCGCGCGCCTCACGCGCGCCCCCTACCTGTTTTGAAGGCAGCCGTTTTAAAACCTGCTTTTGCCTACAAGTGCCGCCCTGCCACCGTGTATATGCGGTGGCTGGGCGGCAAGTGGTTAATGGATAAAATTAGGAAAAATGCACCTACATAGGTTAAAAATACAAGCGTTTTCGTCAGCAACGTCTGCCTCATCAGGGGTCCCTAATGAAACGTGTAGGGAGGGACTTCCAGGCGTCAGTACACATCATTTCCACTGTTTGGAGCACAGGTGGAGTGCACACTGGCACTTTTGGTTTCTATTCAGTGCCTGTCTGTTTTTAACATATGTAAGTAATGGCCATACGCAGGAGATTACCAGTTGGTGGAAATAAAGCGCTTTCGTTTGACTAAAGGGGTCATAAATTACCAGTGTGTGTGGTGTGCCTCTATTCTTTAGATTGTTTAGATTGATTACATATGTTTGGAATGTTTATTTGGTACCACATGGACATTTACTGTAGTTTTTTATTCAGAAATTTTACTGTATTTGCTATTTTTAATGATATATTTTAATGATTTCTTTTATGTGAGAGTGTGGTCAAATCCTTAGGTATTTGGAGGTTTTTTTTTTTTTCAGTTTTTATCATTTTTATTGTAAATGTTTTCTTTACAAAAATAAAGAGGAACAAGACATAACAAATGAATAGATGCTTTGATAGCATCATTCACAGAAATATTGAGATTCATACATAGAAGGAAGGGCACATATGTGTAGTATATTGTGTGTAATATAAATATATATATTTTTAAGGCAACAATATGGATAGCCAGGCACGTGTCTATCCCCCTCAAGTGGTGAACTCTGAGGTAGGCAGAGAATTGCAGCAATAATTGCTTCTACAAAAATACAGAATAAAGATTATTCAATTGTACATGGAGAGGTTTATTTTCATGTTAATGTGTGCTTTTTCAGAGCCATGAGCCTGAAAAACACAACTGATTTGCTGGACAGCATGTGTTTCTTCTTTGCTAAGATGCAATATCAGATGGAACAAGCAGACAGATTTCCTCTGTAATAATCAATGGGTAGATTTCCTGCATACAAATCAATTGTTTATTTTCTTAGACTGAAAAATTGGACAGATTTAGAGTACATATTTTAAGCTTTTATTTAATAGGTCACGATTTTTGAGGGAAAGGGAAAACAGATTGCATCTGGAAATTGGAAAATGCTCACATTTTTCTGCAACTGAAGATGGAAAATATTACAGATTTGCACCACAGCTAATAAAGTATAAGTTCACCTTTAGTAACATGTTACACCCTAATTTGGGGTGTAATGTGTAATATGTTACTAAATTACCTGCTGCCATCCTGACCTGATCCCCTATCATGACAGGTTGGGCTGTGCCCACTTGGCCGTGTCTTTCGTTCACAGAGTTCTGTGAATGAATGAACTACAACTAGCATCAGCCATTGCTGTTCACAGCTTGTAGTTCTCAATAATCTATGAGGATGCTAGTGAACTCTCTCATGATCTTCCTGGACTTTAGCAACTGCCTGCCAGTATTGGAGGTATGGGCAGAAAGCTCTACTGACAGTCTGCAGGAGCCTGGTATTGCATCCACTATCTGCTGATCATGGGTGCAATGCTTTACAGGCTTCTAAGAAAAAAGAGTTATAAATGGTAATATTTTTACCTGCAAAAAAATGTGCATTTATTTATTTATTTATTTATTTATTTTTAACAGTGAACTTAGCCTTTAAGCTTTTTTGACATGATGCAATTTGTGAGAGATTGAGTGGGTATATTGCATCTGGAAATTAAAATTAGGTTTCCTGATTTAGAGATAGAAGGTAAGAAAATGTTACAGCTTTGCACCACATCTATTAAAACAGTAATAAATCCAAAACCAAAAATGTAATATATTGCAGTTTACCAATCAGAAGAAGGGGGGGCTCTGGGAACTCTGATGTAAAGCGGAGTGGCTCTGGGGATCCTTTTGAAAGGAAGAGTGCTATGGGGACCCCGATGTAAAATTGTTGACTCTGGGGACCCTAATATAAGGAGGGGGGCTCCGGGGAGCCTGATGTAAGGGAGTGACTCTGGGGATCCTGATGTAAGGAAGAGGGCTCTGGGGACACCAATGTAATGAGGATGCCTCTGGGAACCCTTATGTAAGGAGGGGGGCTCTGGGGACTCTGATGTAAAGTGGTTATGAGTCTGGTAATCCTGATGTAAGAAGGGGGCTATGGGGACCCTGATGTAAGGGTGGTGTCTCTGGGAACCCTGATATAAGGAGAGGGGAGCTCTGGAGACCTTGATGTAAAGAGGGAGAGCTCTGGGTACCCTGATGTAAATGGAGGTGACTCTGGTGATCCTGATGTAAGGGAGGTTTCTCCGGGGACCCATATGTAAGGTGAGGGTGACTCTGGAGATCCTGATGTAATAAGGGGGGGCTCTTGGGACCCTGATGTAAGGGGGAGGAACCCTGAAGACCCTGATGTAAGGAGGGGGAATCTAGGAATTCTGATGTAAGTGGGGATGACTCTGGGGACCCTGACTCTGATGTAAGGGGGACCTCTGATAGAGAATCATGACAAAAAGTGGAATCTGATGTGAACAGGTGGGCTCGTCCTGGCTGCTGCACTCTATATGTTGTTTTGTATGTTACTAATATTGTCCCCTGCATTCTATACATTATGTTTTACATTACATAGTCCTGACCAAAGTGTTCATTTGTTTTAATGAAGTTCTTCTTTAACCACTTGACCTCCAGAGGATTTACCCCCCTTAATGACCAGGCCTCTTTTTGCTACTCGACGCTGCACTAATTCAACTGATAATTGCGCGGTCATGCAATGCTGCACCCAAACAAAATTTACGTCCTTTTTTTCACACAAATAGAGCTTTCTTTCGGTGGTATTTGATCACCTTTGCGCTTTTCCTTTTTCACGCTATAAACAAAAAAAGGCCAAACATTTTGAAGAAAAACGATATTTTTTAATTTCAGCTATAAAAAATATATAGTAAACTCAAAGTTGGTTATAAATTTAGGCCAAAATGTATTCTGCTACATTTTTTTGGTAAAAAAAATCCCAATAAGTGTATATTGATTGCTTTGTGTGAAAGTTATAGTGTCTACAAACTATGGTATAGATCGGGTGTCGGCAACCCGCGGCTCCAGAGCCGCATGCGGCTCTTTTTCACCTTTGCTGTGGCTCCGGAGCACACTGCCCACCAGGTGACAGGCAATAGGGTTGCCGTAGCTCAGTGGTCGGCAAGCCGCAGCTCTTTACACATTTTAATGCAGCTGTTCTGTGTGCCGGGCGCCCGCTCCCCTCCCTCCTCTCGGGCGGCCGCCCCAAAAGTCAGGACTCTGCAGCTAGCCCAGCAATGGGCAAACTACGGCCCGGCGGACCTTTTAATCCGGCCCGCGGAGCGTGGCAAACATTGGCTGTCAGGATGTAGGCGGGGCAGCGTGACGAACTCCTCTCCTCTCACAGTCCGCCCTGAAGACCAGAACGGAGCGGGAAC